GGAGGCTTTTTTTTTTCTTGTCACAAGAAAAACCGTGGCATATACCCATAAAGAGTTAGGAAGGTGATGACATTGGGCATGTTATTGCTACAAGCCAAGTTTAAACCAAGCAATGCACTTCCTGATAATGCAGGATCGATTCTGCCAGAAGAGCTGTATCATTCCATTAACAATATCACAGGTGAAACTCAGTTTCACAGTGCATGTTGTGTAGGTAGACTGGTAATTTCTTATAGACTCAGTAATATATATAGGTACCCTATATGTAATTTAAAAAAAAATATTTTCTTTCTTGTGGCTAAATAACAGGCTTCAGTGTGTCAGGCTTCAGTAGCATTTGAAATCTGTGCAAAGCACACTTCGAGCCCTTACTGCATTTATTTTCTCTGTTCATACAGGTACATGAGGGTCTGTTTCAAGACAGCCCTCTTATAGCTCATGAGGAGTCTGGTGCAAGGCATATCAAAGTCTATGAGAAGCTGTATTTTGATGTACAGGAAGGAATAAAACCTTACAAAACTATATATTCACTGGCATCAACTGAAACTAATAGAACTGAATGAAAAAAGGGTTTGAGTTGTGTAACTCAGGTGCAGGAGGCAGAAACTCATACCCCATCCTGTTCTCTCTAATGGCAATTTCCAGAAAAGACCCTACTCAGCAATCTTAGGAAATCAAGACCTTTAAGTGATTTTCTTGAAAAACAGGTACCCTAGTAAGGTCTGCCTAGGGATTTCTGCTGTCAGTCACTCTTCCCTTCTTCTAGTGAACAAGACTTCACTTGATACGGTTTTCCTTGCAAAAGTTGACACATTCCCATGCAGTTGTTTTAAAAATAAGTATTTCCAGTAAAACACTCTTCTCCAAATACAGAATTCCCACCTGAGTACAGTAACAAGGGCTTTCATTTTCTTATCTTTTTAATACAATATATTCTTGGCATTTTACTATTCCAAGGTCTGATACAGTGTGTTTTGGTACCCTTTAGCCTCTCTGAAGAGTTGGCTTTTCAAGAAGGACATGGTGGTTAGAAAATTGCCCACCTTTATTGTCCAAATTTATACCAAAACTGTTTCAGTATTACTCCAGAGAAGTAAGTTTAACTAAACAAGTATCATTCTTTTGCCTCATGTTGCTGACTCTGTCATGGAAAAACCTTGCGCAATCTCTGACAGGGTGAACAGATCAGCTTTTGTGAACAGCCAAGTCCTGTTCTCCAGTGCAAGTCTCTGCCTGTTCTCCAAGGGACAGGAGCATACAACCAGCACCACAGAAACACTGCACATGGAGATACTCGGCTGGTAAAGGCCACAGATGAAGTGTCAGCTCTCTGTGCTTTGACTATAGATGAAAAGAAAACTTTAGCAAGGAAAACGTTGCTGTCAGGTATGAAGACCTGAATTATTGTGAAGTTAGCAAAAGAAAGACTGTGTTTAACTGAGCAGTTTGCAGAGCAGTGTGGTGCCACTCTTGAGGAATGGCAAACAGAAATAGTAGTAATTCTCAGGGTAAAGAAAATAGAGAGAGGTGCAAGGTGTGAGTTATCATTAAAATGTCGGTGTCATTAACTTAGTTGAGTATTGAGTAAATAGAACAAATATTAAGCTAAAAGCTCCTGCTGCAGGCATGAAAAGAGCGAGAGTTGTGGAATAAGAGTTAATATTGTTAAGTACTACCAAACATAAGTATTTGATTTAAGCCAGCTGGGATAGAAAGTGACATGTGTTAGCTATACAAGGAGGAAGGTACCAAGGCACCAACATCCATCTGGAGTTTAGTGCTTAGCTCTTCTCAGCAGGTTGGGCTGTTCATTCTGGAGCTGGGTCTAATAAGTGCTCCTACCTCTTACCTAACCTCACATTCCAGTTTTTGGAACAAGGCAAGTAATAGGCATCATGTCTCTAATTGTGAAAGTCGGCTAATTGTTTTGGGAACAGGGATGGAAGAGAAGCATGTGACAGGGGAAAGAAGGATGGACCTCTTACTCATGTTCATCTGTGAATGTCATAGCCTGAAACAAAGGAACAGAGGCACTGCTGGATCAAAAAAAAAACCTGTGTTCCTTCAGCCAGTACTGGTCACTTTCCATTCTTTTGGTAGTGAAGTTATTTTACCACATCAGGGTAAAATCACATCAGTGGACCAGCTGTGTGTTGATGGAGGAGCTTTGGGCATTTCTTGGACTAAAAAAGGCCAGAGGTAGGCACCATGGTAGGGAGGTCTTAGTTCCTCATCTTTGGATCTTTTAGCTCCATCACATGAATAACGCATCAGAAATAATTGATGTATTTGGGCACTCGTGTTAGCAGCTGTTGATCTTGCTTTTTGTGATACACCTTTCCCAAAGTGCTTGTTATCATCCTTTACTAAGCTGAAGGTCTTAGTCTTGCCTATACATTTCTCTTGACTCTGTAGTGACTCTGCTGTAGAATTTTTTCGTGCTTTTACAGTGTTGAGGTCCAGAACTAATTTAAAGGACCAGTGCACCAGATTGGTTGCTTCAAATGTACAAGCAAATACTCAAGCAAATGTCCAAGCCTGGGACCTCAAAGACCTTAAAGCATTCAGTGTTGGAAAGGTGGCCAAAGCAAATGTATCTCAAAACAATGGGGAACCTCTCTTGGGTGACCAAGGAGTTCTGTTGGGAAGTTTGTTTGAAAAGTGTATACATGTCTTGAGGATTCATCTATAGCTGCATTCAACAATAATGTATCAGGTGTCAGATTCAGGATTGATTTCATGTGTCCAGCTCCCTTGAAGCATATTTTCTTCATTCTTCCATGATTTAAGTGTTTTACTTTTCTGCACCCTAAGAATATATAATAGCCACTTCTTTTCCATGGCAACGCCTGTTTCCAGAATTTGCCATCTGGTGCTTCATATTTCTCTTTTTCCTTCCCCCCCCCCCTTTTTTTTTATTTTCCCAGCAGCTCCAACATTACTCATTCTGCATCCATTTTGACTTCCGCGTTTGAGTGATATTTTCTTTATTGCTCATCAGAAATTTCAGTGGGTCTGTATTCTAAGCCCTTTGGCAATATATAGCTAATTAAGCTGGCTGTATTCCTCTTTAGAAGGAGACTCTGCTTTATGTGAAATATTAATGGACTACAATATTCTTGTGATTTTTGCTAGTTTGGTATTTATTTATATGATAAGATTTTAATAGAGTTTTTTCTGACTAAAAAATTTAAACGTGCTTTTTAGACAATGTAAATCATAGAAGACATCTTTGCATTTAAAATACTAGGTAGCCAGTAACTTCTTGTCTACAGCTTAAGTAGCCTTTGCTTATTTTTCTCTATAGAAAAAACAGAAAATGCAAAAGGTAATGTCACACACGTAAAAACCCAAGTCTGCTAAACAGTGCTCTTCTGGTCTTCTTGATCTTCCTTCTAAGTTACTTCCTATTGCCTTTTTACGACTATTTGATCTTGCCTTTGCATGTTTTTTTAATTGCTGCCTTAGAACCTGCTGTCATGAGAGTGATACTGACCCTCAGCATAGGAATCTTTACATGAGCAGAAGGATGCTGATAGCAGTATGTTTACTCTCTTAAACTTAGAGGAACAAGCTGCTATAGCAAGGGAGTTAGAAGACCATGAATTGGTTTCTGGCAGAATCTGTGGTTAGGCAAGAATTCCTGAAAGCCCAGGTGTCGTTTAATCTAGCAAGCAGCTAAACACCACAAAATCACTTGCTTACTTCCCTCCACAGTGAGGTGGGGGTGACAGTCAGAGGAGAAAAGGTTGGAACACTCATGGGTTGAGATAAAAAGAGTTTAATGATTAAAATAAACCAAACTAAAATAATAATAATAGTAACAACATTAATTGTAATAAAAATAGGAAAAACAATAATAAACCAATGAAGGTTATACTCAGTTCATGCAGTTGCAGCCATGTGCCAGCGAAAACGCGACGGTCAATGATGTGGGAGTGGTAAGCGTCAGGAACTGAATGGAGAGCAGGACTCCGTGGGGACAATGACCATCGAAGTAACAGAGGGCATCCCCAGCTAACTCCCCAGTTTGTAGTATGTGTGACTCACATAGAATACTTTTGTTGGCCACTGTGTTCATCTGTCCTGGCTACATCCTTCCCAACTTCTTGTAAAGAAGAAGCTGGAAGGACAACCCGGATCCTGCTGGAGCCTGTAGTGGGCATTGCAGTTCCTAAACTACTGGCTTTTTGTTTCTTCGAGAGTTGTCGCGCCTATTATTGTCAGACCAGAAGATTAGAGAGTTCCTAATTTAGCTGCCAAGAGTCGTGCTGTAGATTAAAATGCCATGGAAAACAAACAGAAAGTGTGCTAAAATTCTGACTTGGCAATAGAAACTCAGCAGCAGTAGAGTCAATATCCTCTAGGAGTCAGATGGGGATGAGTTAGGCTCTGGATTGTAGTTTTTTCTGATATTTCATAACAAAGATGTTATGCATGCTTTTAGTCTGTTCTGCAAAATTAAAATATCTGCATATTTTTCCCTAACTTTTTTTCCTAGGCACTTAAAAATTAAAAAAAACCAACACAAACGTAATGACAGGAGGAGAAATTAGAAAGTACTGTAGCTCAGTGCCAGGCAGCCCTAGGGGAAGCAATTAATTTGACCCCCCTGATTTTGAATACTGTGATTGCATTCCCATAAGGCTTTTGCACACTTTCACAGTGAGTGACCTTACTGCTAGCATGGTGGTACATTACGCGAATCCCAGAGGACACTGAAGTCTGTGAGGTTCTGCCTCACAGAGAATATGTTGAGAATGTGTTAATTTTTTTCTTAAGACTAGCAAAGCGGGTGTGGTTATTCACAGGATTGTGAGTAGATATTTCAAAATAATGCTTGATAATCAGGAAGAACAAGTATTTCAATGCAAACCTAACACCTTTGTAGTAAGTGTGTAAAATCTGTCTTAAGATATGACTCATTTTTATTTCATGTAAGGCTGACGTGAGATACAGGTCTAAAGTATCTAACTCTGATTTCTTTCTTTTAGATTGTGTTTTTGGAACAAAATGATCAGCAAGAGCAACTGGCCAAGAAGTGGGGGTTCAAAACGTCTGACATAAGAGAACTGAGTAACCAGTATGTGTTTTGTTTAGATTAATTTCAGCAAATGCAATTTATTCTCTGAGTGAAGTGATGCTAGTCTCTGTGAATAAATTTAGTCAGGGAGCACTTTAAAACTAATCTCATGAGCAGAACACTGTTTCAGCTTTGTAAGAGCTCTTAATCCAAGAGCTTCCTGCATCCTGGGTGGATGGTCCATGTGCTTTTTGCATCCTAGGTTTGGGACTGATACCATGGCTGAATTGTGCTGGCTGATTTACACTGCATGGAACAAAATGCCATATTTAGCTTTCATACATGACCTCTTCTAAGCCTGCAGAAATGAATTATGTTCTCTTTTGATATTACACTTTACATCCATTTTGTTAGCAGTGGGCTATGCCTAATAACTAGCTTGAAACTCTAGACTTAGTAAATGTAGTAACACTAACACTGCTTATATAAAACTCAAGTGCTTGGGCTTTGACACACACCCCCTAATAAATAGTAATAAAAATAGAAGTTTTAAACCTTCTAAACCCAGAGCCTTGGTTTTCGTGCTGTACTGCAGCTAGAGCATTCTTTTCGTCTTCAGTTGGTGAAATCCCCCACCTTTCTAGTGAAGTGGTTTTAGAATGTGCCTACTATGCTTTCCATGCAGTTACACAGCTGTAAATGACTTGTGGCTTAGAATCTAAAGCTGCAACATTGTTTTAGTGTTCAATTGTTAAAAAATCTATATGCTTTGTTGGAAGGCTAATCATACAGAATATATGAGTCATCAGATGTTTTCTTCACTTGAAATAGCCTGGGGAAAATGGAAGGTGCTGGGAATTCGGATCAGATTGAGAAAGATCTTTCAGCATTTCTAACATGCAGGGAAACAGGAAGAAGGGGAATTTCAAAGAGACAAAATCACATTCAGTACTCATGGAGAAGGGGAGTGGGAAAGATTGTATACTGTATGAAGTTTCAACACAAACCAGAATAATTATAGCAACTTTCTTGTAATGTTGATATGTTAATCTCTGTTATTGCATGAACACTGCACAACAACAAACAATATTACAGTTCCATTGTAACTATACCTTTCATGCCAAGCTACTGAGCAGAGATTTTTTTTTCACCAGTGTCTGTGTCGGCATTTGTAGACACAGTGTGACTGTCCTTCCACTAAACTTTGAAATTAATTGATTGAATATATATATAAACACACACATACACACTTATATAATGCAGAAGAAAACTGGTATATAGAAAGTTACAGCTTCATAAATATAATGGATTGGCAGCTATAGGCGTTCCAAATATATCTGTACTAGGAAGCAAGACTGTGCCCAAATCTTATCTTTTTTCAGATGCATTCTATGGTGAAGTTATGCTGAAGTCAGTCTGGCTTTATTTAGTCTGTATAAATATTAAAGATAATTTCATTCATCATGCTCTTATATTGTTTTTCTTTCAGCTACATATAAGTCTCTGTAAAAGTTATTATTCAACTGCTTCATACAATAGAAGGAGTATGGGTAGAAGTACAGTACAAGTTGACAGGCTGATGTTGAGAGTGGAAGGTGCTTGTCATTTACTCTGGTGGATTTTGATCACACATACTGTTTTAAGCAAAACTACTTACTGTGGAAATTTTTGTGATATTTTTGATTGTTAGAATTTTGTTTTCTTTCCAAAAAAACTTTCCCTAGTGAATTCTTCATGCCAGGAATGGTTGATACACACATCCATGCTCCTCAGTATTCCTTTACTGGTACAAGAGTAGATCTACCTCTTTTGCAGTGGTTGACTACCTACACATTCCCAACAGAAGCCAAATACAAAGACAGTGATTTTGCAGAAGAAGTGTACACCAGAGTTGTTGTAAGTACTGCAAATGTTATTTACCTACTTTATGACATTCATATTTATGAAACAAACATATACTTTCAGAAGGTCAGCAAAAATGGTAAAGCATGCTTTAATGTAATGAAATCCAGATAAAACTAACAGTGTAGCTGCTGTTCTAATTGCCAGGCAAGATTGTCCCCTAGTAGTTCCAGTCTTGTTCTGTTGTTGCTGATAAGACAGTTCATTTAATCACATGGTTAGCAACCACCTTGTTTTCATCTTTTCCGATATCTGAGTACAATGACCAGCATTCAAGAGTAGTCTCAGAGCTAGAATATCCAGCAGGTGCTGACAACATCAATGCAGAAACAACCAAGCATGGTAAAAAAGAAAATCAGAGGATATTTCATTTTCTGCACAAATAGCCCGTATTATGGAGTTGTCTTCTGCAAAGACTACATGAAAAGGAATATGCTTCTCACAGACAAGAAATCTGAGATGTTTTGAAGTAATTAAGTTAGGCGTTTCTACAACTGAGGTCCTTGTAGCAGGAGTATCTTTTACTGCAGGGGCTTCAGATGAAGTCTGTCAATGGTATTGTGGCACAAAGAGAGAGAACTGTGTTAAAGCTAAACTGGTTCTGAGCAATATAAAGGCTTAAAGGTCAAATTCTGTTTGATGAACAATAAGCAGATTGGTCACGTTGCAGAGTACTGATTCTGTCCTATAACTGAAATGTACCCTTTAATATGTGGACTGAAATATCTTCAACAAATTAAACTATTTGGTCAGCATAAGTTGTCTTGTGTTTGTCTAATACTGTGACAACATGTGTTGTCAAAATAATAACATAGTGAATCTTCAATAAATAGTTATAATATCCTTGCCACACAATTTTTTTTAAATTACTTTCTGCCATCTGCGATAATAAAAACATGTAGAGGCAGGTTGGTTATAAACTCTAGCTACAAGCGCACATGCCCTCAGCTACGTAAAACATAAAGGTGATCTGACCTTCCAGCTGTGTGCCTCAACATACTGTTAGTCTCCATCAGTTCAAATTGGGTGACATCAGCACAGATAAACTGTTCACTGTGCAAGATGTTTAATAACATCACCTGGAAAAGAGCTGCCAGTGAGAGGTAGATATAGAAGCTTCAGCCCCATGTGTATCAAATAAGACAAGGTCAGGAAAATGTCTTCACCCCCAAATGCTGCAGAATACCAGTTACTTCGCAATGTTTGATGGGCTGATAATAACCTTTAACTGTTAGAAGCAGGACTAAACCTGTGGGAGGCAGATACTTATTTTTCAAATGTATCTTTGTACTTCTGGAGTTGTAATGAAAACATAGTGTTTTTTTCAAATCAAAGTTCTGTTTCCAATAAGCACTTTCTATACTTGGTAAAAGAAATTAATTAGGTGAAATTTGCCAGATTTTAGCTGGAACTTCCTCCAGTCACTCAAATTGTAGGAAAGCAAATTCTTCATGCTGATGTTTTGGGAACAAATTTAGATTTCATTTAATAATGATGTTATGAATCCAGAAGAAGAGAATTTTGGGTTTTAAAAGCTAAGAAAGACAAATGTAGTTTGTCTCAGTAATGACAGACTCATTTAAGAACCCTTAAAGACATATTTTTAATTTTGTGCTTCAATCTGAATTTTATGTGGAAAAGACAGAGCTTGGCTTCAAGTTTGTCAATTAGCTCTAGCCATTCTCAAAAGCTGTGTTGGATGTCCAACCTTCTGACTCATTAATAAAAATAAAATTCTCAAATTACATTGTAGCCAAAATCCAAAACTGTAATTTAAACCTGTATGTTGGATGGGTAGTCAATATTGTATGCATTATTCCCAAGATCAAGTGAAACTATAAATTTCATTATGACTTAACATAACTTTAAATGGCTCTTCATTTTCTGTTTCGTCCTCTAAAAGTAATATGAACAAGTATCAGCCACCCTCTCCTTTCAAATGATATAATTAAATAGATAATTAAATTACACTCTGAGCAGTTGTTCTTAATTTACTTTTACCTTGAAGTTTATTACTTTTTATTCATGGATAACAAAGGGTTTTTTTACATGAAAGCCTGGCTGTTTTTCCCAGCCATATCAGGTAGCCAAATGAAAACCACTATTGTTTCCCAAAAGCCTTGCTTTGCTAGTGTTATGTAAACCGTGCTTCACTATGAAAGCTGGAGAGCATTTCAAAACTAGGAAATAACATAAATTACTGTGTTTCTAAATATGATTCAAGTTAGGCATAAGGCAGAATTATTTCCGTTTTGAGTGAAGACAATATAGACTGGTTACTATGGGTTTAGCCATCGTAAAACCCTATATCGATTTGGAAGAGGAATTTTTGTACTTTTTAACATTGTCTTGAAAAAGCTATTATGAATTTTAAAATCTATATTTTATCTTCCCACTTCACTGCAGTTTCACAATAACTAAATGTTCTCATAGTTTGAAATCAGACTGCCTGTTCTGCATTTTGGCAGCTTGATTATTTTTTTTCCCAGACAGTTGAAACTGATTTCTTTTTATAGAGACGAACTCTAAAGAATGGCACGACTACAGCTTGCTACTTTGCAACAATCTACACAGATACTTCTCTTCTTCTTGCTGAAATTATAGGTAAGACTACCAGAGTGAGTTTTGAAGTATGTTGCACAGACTGTTGGTTGAAAGAAACAGAGCTTGGGAGTTTTAGATTAGCTAGGGATCTGTCTTTCTATCCCCTAATTTGTTTCTTATTCTTTGTATATGTCATACTATGTCCCCAAAATCCACCCTAGTTACTCTTGTTCACTTAACTGCCTCTCTCCTGTGGTTGTTTCTGCTAGTCTCTTCATTCCCAAATCAGCTGCTGGCCAAGCTTGAATTAGGTCTGCTGGAGTTGCTCTTCGGCTGAAGTTCTCAGCTCTTTCTAGCCTTTTGATAGTTGAGGATTAAAGGGCTGAATGACAAAAGGTGCAGCCAGTGCATTAATTTCCTGATACTCTGAAGTTTCAGTTGAGAATCAACATCAAAAATCTGCACACAACCTCTGATACTAGAACAGTAGGAACTGTGTTAGGATCTTACCCCTCCCTTGTGTTCACTGTTTCAAATGCCTGCTGTTTGAAGGTGGTGTGATTCTTGCAGGATTTCTCAAGGCTCATGCAACTCCTGAAGCAAAAGGATTTAATAAGAATCTCAGTTTCCATCAAAAATTCCCTAGTCTTTCTGATTTTGTAGGAAAATATAAAACTTTGAAGCTGTTGTGTTCAAGAACTCAGACAGTAAGAGCAGATCTAATTCAGAAACATGTTTACTAGATTAGAATTGAATTTTATATGCATTCCTTTTAAGTCTTACACGTGAGTTCTGAGTCCTAACATGGATAAATCTCAAGAAAGAGGCTAGAAGTAGCTCTGGCAATATTCTCCCATCCAGCTGCATGTGGGAGTCATGTTAGGAACCTCATTCGTTTCTCTTAAGGAGAGATGGTTTGCTGAAATCTTTTTGCCTTTTCTTAGCTTAGGATGGTCATCTACTACTGGTGCTGTACTTTATGCTTGTTTCAAATCCTCTGCTTCACAGGAGAATCTTCTTCATATACTACCGTTATGAAATCTGGTTGTGGCTAAACTACAGTAACCTAGTCCTCAATTATAACATTTATAAAGTTGGGTAGTAATGTGGAAAAGAAGAACTTCTATTTAAATATATTGTGATTTTTTTTCGTCTTTCCTTTTTAGCCTTAAAAGTCACATGGATGGTCCCAAGCTAAAGATAAGAGAAGAGCATAAATCCTGATAATCTTAAATGAAGCTGACTGGGGTGGAATTTGCTATTTTGGTTTCAGTACAGGCTTTGATAGCAATTTTTGAGAACCAGTGATTCTGAGTTTTATATTCTTATGTATCTTAACAGATAAATTTGGTCAACGAGCATTTGTTGGAAAAGTCTGCATGGATATGAATGACAGTGTGCCACAATACAAAGAGATTACTGCTGACTCCATCCAAGAGACAGAAAGGTAAGGTGATCAAATTCGTGGCACAGCCTTTAGAAATAAGACTTTTTCATACATCTGAAAAGTGAATGGGATGCTGGCTAAGAACTTACAGGTGTAAATTTATTAGAAACAGGTTTTTTCTTCCAACAGTATTGTTTCCTACAGTTCTGGCAATTCCTGCATACCCAGTTTCTCTCTAGCTCTTCCAAATAAAGGGAGAAGCTACAGCTCTGGGGTTTGGAGAGAATGTGTATATTGTTTGTTTTTTTGCTTCTTCTTGTCCGTCCACAGCTCTGTGTGTGGAAGTGATGTGGCTTGGCATGGGACAGTGAGGTGGTAATCAGTTCCTTTGCCCCCATTAATTTCTGAGCTATTTTCTTCCCTCATTTAGAGTGAAGCTTTATTCAAGTCATAGGAATCAGATTTCACATACCCTGTTTTAAACACACCGTGGTTCTCCTCTCCTCCAGTACAGCACCAGTTAAATTACTTGAACTTGCAGCTGAGTGAATGAAGGAGAATCAAATCAAGGAAATGTACGTGGTGGAGGAGACCCAAGACTGGCATACAGCAATCTGCTGTCTTAGATTTCCCTTGTCTTTCTCATCCATGCTCAGAAAATGCTTAAGCAGACATACAGCTTTTCTCATGGGACTATGTATTTACTTATATAGATGTTTCAAATATCATGCTGAAAGAGTAAGTACCTAACAGTAATATAAGTATCTTATGGTTTTTGTGCCACCTTATCTTTGCAATTCATGCTAGAAGAATGCCAGTAAAAGTTAGAAATGGTCTGGATTTTGAATGATGTTTGTATTTAAAGACAATTTTAAAACATGCAGTATTAGTCATTTACACTCTACTAAATCTCCAGTTTTCATAATACGGTGTGAGTCCTGCTGATTG